TCTGTTCACTGTATGGTTACGTTCAATCAGATCTTCTCTAGGCCAAAGCCCTAGAGGTTTCAACTTCTTTGGCTTTGCGCACCTCACTTATTTTGCTTCCCTGTGTCGAGGCAAATAACGCTAGATTTAGTTTCATTATTATCGATAAAAGCTACACTCGCCGTCAGTTTCTTTCACATTATTAGGAGATTTAAGGGATGCTGCAGCTTTATATACCTTTCCCACACTGAATGAGGCTTCAACCATTGATTTTAGGCTAAGTCTCAATTAACAGCCTTCCTCAGCGATACTTATCAATGTTTTCTGGCTTAAACATAATGAACATGCCTGTAAAGTGTTCTTGCGACCGGCAAGGTGTGTTTTTGGCAGCACGAAGAGGCATCCACTCTAACGAGAAATGACTGAGTTTGCATAAGCATAAACTATTGTGAATCAAGAAATCACAGAAGCTCAAACAGTAAAATAGAATAGTGTGTATATTATGCACACTGATGCTCATTCCGTTATATATTTCTTCCATTTGTTAACTAATCACGACCTTTTGCGCAGTCAGGTCAGAAACTCTTGAGTTACTTTCCAACTCACAATCGTGGAAACGGAACTGCACAAAAAACCGTAGTTTACGCTCTTCGGAAACAAATGCAGGATGCGATGTATCCGTTCTCTGATAGTGCTGGTAGTTGGTCAGCGTCCAAAGTGCAAAGTTTGTCACACGCGCTATTTGAAACAGACAGTGTTCGAATCTACGCAGCATAGTGGGATTCAAATCCATCTATAAGGGTGGAATTTCGACATTGATTATCATTCGTGAAGTGCACGGTCTTACACTGCGTATCGCGTGGAAATGTATCACCAGTGATAGTACGCGACATAAAGCACTAATAATGAAGCTCTACGGTCATACTGACAATAAAACAAACGAGAAAAGCTTCAACTACGTGACAACACGATCTACGAACCACAGAGATTCACTGCGAAAGTCGAGAAAAGTTTCCAATTGTATGGGCCATTTTGCAGGTGCGTGAGCATTTTCCCAGGTTAATTGGTCAAGAATACTAGTGTTTGCTCGCCTCATGTTTTCCTGGTTGTGCCTTTTCTGTGAGTGCAGATTGAAGCAGGGTTATTACGCGCGATATTCCTGCTGCGATGTTTTCGTACGCCCGCACGCTGCGGAAAATGGGGTGAGCCAACGTTTCGCGAGCAGACGACACTCCGCCGACGCTTCGGCTTTCCATTCTGCTTTGCAGCCGCCGTAGGGAGCGTGCGCGAATTTCTCGAAAGGTCTTTCCACGATGGTTCCAATAGGTGAAGCCTGCCGGCCACATCGCGGGCATGCTGGGTCGCTCGGCGAGCTCCGTTTATAAAGTGCGCTTCGCAGATGTGCGTTGCACACTTAGGTGACTTTCCGACCCAACGACCTGCACTCTCAGAGCATGTAAGTCTAGTCACAGGCCGTGCGAAAAAAATTGAGATAAATGTAATGCAAGCTACTGAAGAACGCCAGAATTCTGTAGGAGTAAGTTCGAATGAGTTTGTCTACTTAGCATGAATTGAGGCAGTGGGAAGCTCCTTTATAAGTAAAATAATTTAGTATTTTTATAGTGATTTCCAGAAGCGTCCATGTGCGAGCACGTGGGGGTGTGAAGGAACCCCCTTCATTGCCCCCCCGACGTGTGCAGGGAAGCAAGAGAGAGTGCGTGGAGCTGTCACAGTTTCTGGCAGCTGTCACAATTACAACTTTCTGCCTGGCTACTCAGCCTTTCTGGAATGTCCTCACGACAGTTTTCGAGCCGCTATGCGCCTTTTCTTTCGAACCGACATGCATGGCAAGTGAAATGACTACTCACTCGACAACCTCGGAGTCAAGCGACTTGGATCAGTATGCCCACGACAAAAACCCCTAAAGCCTCGCGGTCTCAGCAGGCGGCGTCCACGAAGCTTGCTTCAATCTTGTCCTTGGAAATTTGTGCTAGTATTGTCGACGCCCTCTCTTTGCGACGATTTGCGTTGTGCACTGGACGGACGCACCAGGGAAGCAAAGTGACAACGACTTCCCTATTTCTATGAGTATATGGGTTTTCATAGCCAAGTTATTGGTGAGGGTCAGTTATTTCTAGAATTCGCCTACCGGTCAGCGTGGAGGAAAACCCGAGTTAGTGGAGCCCGTTCCTGAACCGAGGCCTCCATGGTGTTGTGTGGAGCCGAAGGAGGCCCTTGGTGTACGCTCTGACGGGCAGCCCGAGTGCTCTTGATTTTCGTTATTGCAACATGGAGCTCATCCCACTTTGCTCTGAAATAGGGGTGCATGTCTACTGCTGCCTCCTGGTAAAGTGACACAGCGTAAAGCTATGAATGAGCCGAAGCAAGTTGTCCTCCGTGAGGCCTCAACGTTTTGTGAGCCTTCGCACAGGTAGAAAAGCGTTGTCGGTCATTGCAATGATTTTGGACAACGCAGTGCCATTGTCGCCACGCGATTCGAGTAGGACACACACACACACACACACACACACACTAACGAAAGGACAGGAACGTTTGCCAGTAATCAGACTGGCTGGCTACCCTGTGCTGGAAAAATGGGTATAGAAGAGAGATGGTGCAAAACAGGAACATAAAAACAAGAGGAGAGCAATAATACGTCATACAACCATACTTACAGCTGTCTTTGACATTGTTCACCCGTAACAAACGCAACAACGATTGCAAAACCTCCATTGCCGATGAGAGTTCTGGCCAGTGTTTGAAGCTATTTCCCTCTGACAATGGACCATGGTCAAGTTTATTGAACACACTGGTGCATTGAAGTGAGGGCACTCACACAAAAGAAAGGCGATTGTCTCCTCACACCATAGACTGATGAAGTGGACCATGGGTATCAGCTCCCTACTCTAAATTAACATGTGAATCACTTTCAAAGACAGGCATCCATGCCTTATGTCTGCCCTCTTTTTTTCTGTAAAGCTTGAGCTAGGATTTCGTCAGAGAGCATCTGCGTCCGGCGGCAGCAGGTACTGGTCTGGGACATCTACGGGTTCTAGATTAAAGCTTTTCACTTGACATTCGCTATTACTGGTGCACTAGATACCGAAGTCACCAACACAGATGGAATGATTGATGTCTGACTTGGGTCAGCCTCCTCGAGAAGCCAACCATGTAGATGTTGAAGAGAGTGGTCGAAGTGTTCGATTCTTGTGGCGTACCCCGTGAGCCCACGAACAATTCATCGGAGTCAAAGTCACTCAGGCACAGCTCTAGTTTCCTCTTGGTCTGAATCGAAGAGACATTGGTATACAGTGTCAGCCAGCTGGAGGTCCGCCACAGCAGGCAGTATGTGTGGGCAGCTCCATCAAATGCTTTTTCGTGCTTAAATCTGAGCAAGGTCCTAGTGTCCTTGGTACGAATGACAATAGTTTCAGGTTTGACCACATTCGTGTTGCCCTGCATCAATAGGCTGGCTCGGAAGTAGAGTAGAAAAATGAGTGCCTCCATTCAGTTTCAATTACACTCCAGAGAATTCAGGTATTCTGCAATTTCATTCCTTTAAATTCATCGGAACAGAAAAATTGTGTATTCCCACTCAAGGAATAGCGGGGCCATTCAATTTTATTCCCTGATTTCCTCATTGTAGGGATTGAATCTTCAGGGTTTTTTTGTAGTTATGAATGAACAACCCCATAAATATAGTGTCATGAGATACACAGAGCTGGAAATGCACGTTAAATTTGTTACCAAAGCCGAGGGTTAGTAGTTTGGAATATCTCGTGTAGTAGAACCGCCCTACTAATGCTCATAGGAGCAGTTCTCTCATTTTATATAATATTTGCATGATCAACATGTTGAAACGAATGGTGATATTTTAACTGCTCAGGCCTGAATTTGTTAACACTAAACTGATAACAGAGTATTTGCATGTTGACAAAAGTAGTGTTCTAGAAGACTAAGCAGTTTTCCCCACTTCTGTTGTGGTCGTAAGTTTGTAGAAAGAAAATTTCGTTGACAATTTGACAAACCACTCTATATCTGCTGGCGTAAGACAAAACAGTGCACCACCGCTATTTTGGGTGCACGTTAAAGAACACCAGGTGGTAAAAATTTCCGGAGCCTTCCACTACAGCGTGTCTAATAATCCTATGGTGATTTCGGGACGTTAAACTCCGCATATCAATCAATCAATCACGTGGCGCTAGCCTCAGCAAGGCTCCCGAAGCCACCCCTACCAAAACTGGCTCGTTACCTCTTTGGTACAATTAGGCCCTCGCAGTACACATCCAGTGCGAGCCGACCAATCGTTGCGCTAGCCCATCTGCCAGAGACCTTCACCAGGGCTGATTTTTTCCTTAAATTTGTCCATATTTAGCATTCAAGTTTATCACGTGACACTCTAGTAGTGCTGTCCTCTCTCCTGGTTGCGCTGCGCCACCTATAGAGTGAGGATGGCCATTAGTGGCCAATATTTGCCGTTGTTTCATTCGTTCAGCGAACAAGAATCAATGCGCTCGTCCACACCGCATTGTCCATCCCAGTTCATAAATTTTTTTCTCGGCGTTTGCCTAAATAGAAAGGTGATATTGCGCAAACACTTATATGCACTCATAATATGTCTGTCGCGGCGGCAAAACAGGCGAAGAGGCTGAACGAGCAGTAGCAAGTCTGATTTCTGTCGAGGGCTCCCATATTCTGACAAGCGTGCCTTATCACTAAAATATTTCGTAGTTGCAATCGACTGACATATTACTAACATGTATTAAACTTCGTTTCCGCTTATTATTTGTTGAGTGCAATTCCTTTACAAATTGTGTTATTTTCTATATATTTTCTATAGTATGAATAATGTCCCATGCCTGCTACAGGCATGGACAAAAAGACTCCACTATGAACGAATAAAAAATAAAGTATTTCTCGTCTATGCGACTTTGGTCTACTGTTAAACAACTCCTTTACAGAACTTTGAATAGTGAATTCAACAGCAGAAAAGCAAGGTGGAATAACAGCGTTGCGCTTACCTTTCTTTTGAATGTGATGACGAAAGCCCACGATGGTAGCTTGATCCGTGTGACCGAACAGATCAAGTGATTGAGGTTTGGGCAGTACTCATGAACACGAAGAACGGGTAGGTGCTCTCCACGCTCTCTGAGCTTACACTGCCAGAAAATGTGGAGAGAGAGAGAGAGACAGAGAAAAGGAGATACCAATGAACACTTGGTATACGCGTACGCACATAGCCTGACCGCCGACATGCGAACAGCGGTGCTCCGAAAAACAATTAAAATAAATTTTCCCGAGCTATGATCTGGTAATGCACCACCCGACCTGCTCTTCACATTCGAAAAATGCAATACACTTAAGCTGCCTCTTAAAGAAAGGTGCAAAGACAAGTTAGGGGGTTATTTAGTTCGGGTTCATCATTGATATGGGTAAAGCGCACCACGACAAGGACACAAAAAGGCAGGCGCACACCACACGCCCACAGTGCTAACTTGCAACTAAAGTTTTATTTGCGATCACACATGCAATATATACAGTAACAGCGGATCATTAAAACCTGGAAAAGATCCCGTTAAGATACAGCACAGCTCATGCATGTGTCATCACCGATTGCGACAATTTGCAGTCGCCAACGTCGAAATAAAGAATCTAGATACTTCCTTGCTTTAGCTGACATAGCCATGGAAGCCAAACTCACACATTTTTCTTTGATTTTGCAAGTTCATAGGCTTTAACGAGTTCGCGCGTACTTCTGTCGTGTGCTCTATAAATAGTGCGGGAGTTTCGAAACATAGGGACGCAACCACACCTTTGACAGTCATGGGCCCCATGACCAGATACAGCTCTTTCTACGTTGTATTTGTGTTTCCTAAGTCTTTCGTTGACACCTTCCGGATTCGCCTATGTGCACGCAATCACAGGTTCATGGGGTGCAGTACACAATACCAAAACAACAATTCACGAATTTTTCCCGGTGCTTGATTTTACAATCCCGTTTTCCGCTGCTGACTACATTAACTTTTTTGCACACTCTTTCAATTGTTCTAGAGCAAAAAACACTACATCCGCAGCCACCTTTTTCGCTATCCTTCGCAAGTTATGCGAAATGGTATTCTTGTAGGGCACTACAACAACCTTGGGTGCCTTAGTGCCGGCGCCCTAGTCTGACGTTTGCCCTTCTTTTCATGCTTATATTTTCGGCGACTGCTGTGAACAGGCGCAAGGTATAACCAGATTCAAACAAACGTTTAGCTTGCACCCACAAGCTTGCAACAAGCTTCTGGTGGCACGACTTCATCATTGAATTTTGAAAATAGGAATTTATCACCGCAACGCTTTACCAACGAGCGTGCGGACGTGAAAGAATGAACCAATTTATTTAATCGCGGTTCATTGCTCCAGCGTACTCCTGCTGGCGAAAAATACAGCCCGAGGTCAAGGAATCTTACGGAATTGTCAATTGGTACTTCATGCGTCCGCCCTAGGGGAGATAACCCTGTCATTAACATGTTTAGAGTTTCCGTTCATTACTGGCGACGATCAGATATTCATCCACAAATCTAAAAACAGGACTCACATAAGTGTGCTTCACACGCTCGTCAAGTACCCTATTACGTTTTGTAAAAAGAGGTCACTCAAGTACGGGGATATTCAGGAAGCTATACATACCCCGTTCTTTTGTTTCCAGTGTTCCCATTCCACATCGCATAGGCCGAGTTAAGACAAAACTAAAAGAGCTCGTTGACTGTGTGTGCATCTCTATTTGTGTCTTTATCGTGGTGCGCTATACCCATTAAAATATTTAGGAAATGCACACACACACACACACACACACACACACACACACACACACACACACACACACACAAAATCGCCTTCCCAATCGCTAGTTAGCTTGTCTTCGCTTCTCGGTTGAGACCTTAATTGTGCCAAGTACAAAGTGCAAAGCCAAATGCAAAAGTTCTCCGGCTTCTACCTATATCTACCTCAAATTATCGCTCACGACCAACGCTGCTTTTTTGCTTACGACAATTTACGTTGACAACAAGAACAGGAATTTTTGGGAAACGGGCTCTTCATCTCTATTGCAATATGGGCAATGCACACGGGCTATAGGTGGCGCCCCGTGCAATCCAATATGGCTGCGAGAGGAGGTTGAAACTGTGAACCCGCATAGGAAAAGATAAGTTGCATGGACGTACACCCCATGCCGCTTCCACCGGAAGAACTCCCAATCGTCAAGTTAAGGTATATCTGACGAAAGTACTTTTCCGAACGATAGGAACTGCTATATGTCCACTACCTCATTTTCCGCTGCAGTTTGAAGAGTATTGGTGTCAGCTGATCGAGCGTGCATCAACGATGCCTTGCGAAATCCTGTGCGTGGTACAGAAACCTGTGGGAACTAGAATTTACGTGGAACTTCACCGCGCTCCAAGGTAATTCATACCGAGCCTGCCTCACGGATTTGCTGCAGTAGTAGGCCGCTTGAGAGTAGCACGCCATCGCAGCTGCACAAGATCGAATGTCTAACGTGGTGATGGTTCGCAAACATATTACGCCGTCGTCATTACTTGTGCTTTCATCAAAACAAAGCTGCTTCTTGAACAGAACACGATCATTTACATTCACATTAGGACGCAGCTATGCTCAGACACTAACTATGCGCAATTCACGGTACTCGTATGTTGCAGGTTTCATCACAGTGATCGAAGCAAAAATATCCAAAAGAATACACCTGCATGCTTTTCGGAACAACAAAATTGCGAAAAGTTTGTCAAGCAACGCAATTTGGAAGTTTTAAAACGGGTTGTTGAACAAGCAGGAGTTGACTCGGTGAAGGGGAGCTTTATTTAGCGCAAGGGCTAACTGAACGCAAGCCTGCGATCACAGCAAGTCTTCTTCCTTTTCTATCCTCGAGCTCCATGCCCACTGCCCTCGTTACAATCACCCCCGGCCGAAGAGGGAGCCATCCTGGCGACCTAAGGACAGGTGTACACAGAAGGGTCATGGTATGGCTTGAGCCGAGAGATGTGTACGATTTCTTTTCCCCGACGGCGTTTGTCCGGAGATGCAACCAGCGGCTCGACAAGGTAGTTGACAGGGGATGCTTGGCGTACAACTCGACAAGGGCCATGGTACCTGGACGAAAGCTTTAGGGAGAGTCCTGGAGGAGTAGAAGGAATCCATAACCACACCAGTGAGTTCGGAGCAAAGCTCATATGCGTGGTTAACGCGTCATGGCGATGTTTTTGGCGCGTCTGGTCATGTGACGTGAACGCACGAGCAAGCTTCCGACATTCTTCAGCGTGTGCTGCTGCTCGAGAAACGGCAGTAATCTCTGAAGGGTCCGGTCGATAAGGAAGAATGGTATCCATTGTTGATGATGGCTCGCGTCCATAAAAAAGGAAGAAAGTCGAAAATCCAGTGGTGCTTTGCGTTGCAGTGTTGTAAGCATATGTCACAAAAGGGAGTATGCTATCCCAATTTGACTGGTCGGATGAAGCGTACTTGGCCAGCATATCCCCAAGTGTACGATTAAAACGCTCTGTCATCCCATTAGTTTGCGGGTGATAGGCTGTGGTAGTGCGGTGTATGATGCGACACTCGTTTAACAACGCTTTGATGGCATCGGAGAGAAAAACGCGGCCGCGGTCGCTTAGCAACTCCTGAGGTGCTCCATGCCTTAAAACCAGGTTTTGCAGTATAAAACACGCAACGTCTTTTGCGGTAGCAGAAGGTAACGCAGCTGTTTCAGCGTACCGCGTTAGGTGGTCGATAGCGACAATGACCCAGCGGTTGCTACTTGAAGTATAGGGAAGCGGACCGTAAAGGTCGATTCCGACACGATCGAAAGCTCGTGCTAGACATGGCAACGGCTGCAAGGAACCTGTGGCATGTTGAGTGGGCATTTTGCGCCGCTGGCACGTAAGGCAAGACCTTACGTAACGGCGAACGAAATGGTACATACCGCGCCAGTAGTACCGCAGCTGCAAGCGGGTGTATGTTTTCAACACACCAGCGTGGCCACATTGCGGATCATCGTGGAACGTGGCACAGATGTCAGAGCGCAGATGTCGGGGGATGACGAGCAACCACTTACGGCCGATCGAGCTGTAGTTTCGGCGGTAAAGCAGGTTATCCCGAATAGCGAAGTGTCCTGCTTGGCGGCGAAGCGTCCTGGAAACTGGAGCGGGCGTCCGGTTTGAGAGAAAGTCCAAAATAGAAGAAATCCAAGCATCTTTGGGTTGTTCGGAAGGCATGTCCGAAATGCTGATGGCCAAGGCAGCGCTAGTGGAGATAGGCGAGCCGACAGGCTCTGAAGCCAATGGCGAACGTGACAGGGCATCGGCGTCGGGATGCTTCCGGCCAGAACGGTAGATAACACGGATATCGAACTCCTGTAACCGCAATGCCCAACGAGCGAGCCGACCATTAGGATCTTTTAGTGAAGATAACCAGCAAAGCGCATGGTGGTCTCTTACAATATCAAACGGACGTCCATATAAATAAGGCCGAAATTTTCCGATTGCCCAAATAATGGCGAGGCACTCCTTTTCAGTTACACTGTAATTCTTCTCGGCTTTACTGAGGGTGCGGCTGGCATAGGCAACGACGTATTCGTCAAAGCCCTCCTTGCGTTGGGCCAGTATGGCCCCTAGCCCGACACCACTAGCGTCCGTATGAAGCTCCGTTGGAGCAGACGGATCGAAATGTCGGAGTATGGGAGGCGTGGTGAGGAGCCGTCGGAGTTCCTGAAATGCATCATCACACGCCTGCGACCACCCTGACAAATCAAAACTTGCGGCAAGAAGATTGGTCAAGGGGGCGATAATGGAGGCGAAATTGCGGACGTAGCGCCGGAAGTAAGAACATAGGCCGATGAAGCTTCGAAGCTCTTTGATGGTGGTTGGCTTTGGGAACGCCGCGACTGCATTAAGTTTCGTAGGGTCCGGGAGAATGCCGTCCTTAGAAACCACATGGCCGAGAATTACAAGCTTGCGAGCGCCGAAGTGGCATTTCTTCAAGTTAAGTTGAAGTATCGCCGTGGAAAGGCACGTAAGAACTTGCTCGAGGCGGCTGAGGTGGGTCGCAAAGTCGCTTGAAAATACCACAATGTCATCTAAATAACAGAGGCGCGTTTTCCATTTCAGAC